CTCCGGGCTGAGGCTACCTTGACCAAGGGTTTCCCTGGGATGATGCCACTCTGAGTAGGCAGAGGGTTTCCTGGGATAATGCTACCACAGACAGAGGATTCCCTGGGATGGTGCTACCCCAGACAGAGGGTTCCCTGTGACTTGTTAGATCTGGAAGCATCAGCCTTGGAGGTTGGAGAGGAAGAACTTGACATTGTGCAAACTTGAACAAAGGTCTCTGATCCCCAGACACTGGGACTCTTCCTCCCACAGGCCTGAAGGAGTCCTTGGGCTCAGATCCACCTGCCAGTTGCCTGTCTTGGGCTGCAGGATTTGGTGGGCACGGTGTCAGGACAATTTGGGACAATTGCCTTCAACTTTCCTTCCTCTCTGTAGCGAGTTACCTTGGACATGCCCTTCACCTTTCAGATATCACTGCTGCTCCCACTGGGCAGACAGGGGCATGAAGGAATCAGATGCTGGCTTGGCTTCCACTCCGCATCCAGCCACAGTGCTCTTGTGATGGTCAGCAGTGCTGGACCAGGTCCAGACCTCACACAGCTGCCGGGTTGGCCCAAGGGAGGGGGTGGGAGGAGGGGGCATTTGTTTCACTTCTCCCCAGGCAGTTGCAGTAGGTCTTTGACAACAACTGGGGTGCCACAGAGGAATTAGGATGGGGCTGAAGAGCTCGGGGGCGGCGATAGGGTGGGGAGCACTGGCCTGTGTGCATGGTGATTCACCTGCACACTAGCTTGTCTTCCCACTGATGTGCGCACTGGCTCGCTCAGGTTCTGGCTTGCTCTCACGCTCCTCTCCCATGGCTTGCTTGCACACTGACTGGAATGCAGGCTGGCTTGCACACTGACCCACTAGTACACTGACCTGCCCAAGAGCCGCTGCTCCCCTTTCGGCCTGGGCCATGGAGCAGTGTCCCGTGCTGCTGGGACCCAGGGTCGCCAACTAGGCACCTTCCCACTGCAGCGGTTCCTGCCCCATTTCTGGAGCCCTGAGGTCTGAAATCAAGTGTGGGCAGAGCCCTGCCTCTCCCAGAAGCCCTGGGGTGCGCCTCCCCTTTGCCAGCTTCTCTCTTCCAACCTCTGCCGCCTTGACTTGGGACACCTGCCCTCCCTGTCTTCTCTGCATCACCCCATTTCTGTCACGTCTTCCAGCTCGCATCCGAGGTCACTGTCAGGAGTCAGGCCCCCTCCAGGAAGTCCAGGAGCACCTCATCTCAGGGTGCTCGGCCTGGCTACTCTCAGAGTCTTTTCCAAACAAGGTCACAGCCTCACAGTCTTCACAGATGCCTCGGGTTAGGACAAGGGCATGAACTCCACTGCAGGGTGTGGGTACTCCTGATTAGCCCACTGGAGGAGAAGGAAGCCCAAATATATGTATATAAATACATTTTCATACAGTTACTTGATATGAAGTTATATAACAATGTAAGCACACCATCTCCTATAAATATTTCTTAGTCTATATAATTTATGTATTTGTAATTTATATAATAAATTACGATACTTTAATTATATAATATATAATAGATTATTTATGCATGATTAGTGTATTGTGTATTTATCATTGGTATAATGTGTATGATTATATCAATGATTATAATTTATGTAATAAGTTATATATTAATATAAGCACCCCTGTGTCTATATAGACTCCAAAAATTGAAGCCATGAGAAAGAAAGAACCCTTTTTTTTTCTTTCTTTTTGGGTCACACCTGGTGATGCACAGGGGTTACTCCTGGTTCTGCACTCAGGAATTAGTGCTCAGGGAACCATATGGGATGCTGGGAATTGAACCCGGGTCGGCCAGATGCAAGGCAAACGCCCTACCCGCTGTGCTATCGCTCCAGCCCCGAAAGAAAGAACCTTTTTCCACCATGTCCTCCTCTCTCAGGATGCTTGTATACCTGGTTCACTTCTGTGGAACCCCTCGGTCTTGAAGGAACACACTTTGAAAACGAGCACCTTGGGGGATGAGCAGGGTTCTTAGGGAAGCCAGGGGTGGAGACCCCACTTGGTCTGGCTCTTCCCGCCACATTCCAGCATGGGCTGTCACCAGTGACCATGGAAAGTGGGTGCTTAGGGAGAAATATCCCTTTCGTGCCTGACTTTAGATTTTACGTTGAAGTGTGACTCGGGTTAAATATAAAATTCATAGCATATCTTGAGCAACTATTTTGTGGTTATCTATATATAAATCTATTTTACAGCGACACAAATAGAATAGATTATGGAGTGTCAGCATGTAGATAGATTCCGAGGGCTTTTTCACTAATATACCTAATGATTCGTGCTGAGAATATCCAAGGGCTCCACTGTACATTTAAATGGATATAATTAAAATAATGAGCTCTATTTTAAAAATGATATATGAAAAAAAAATTTAAAGAAGTTAGAAGGAGCTGTACTCCTAATTCAAAGTGATATAAGTACTCGCACGATTGTTATTAGGCCACCTCATTAAATGCAAAGCATCCGAGAAAAGCAACGAACGCCGGGGCTTGTAAATCGAAAGCATGACGCCGGGCGGGGATGAGAGGCGGCGCGTGTCCCCGGTACCACAGGGGCCAGGCCATCACACTGAAAAGGGGTGAAGCAGACGGTGGTGGTGACCAGTCCATGGGCAAGAAGGGGGCAGCTTCTGTGGCTCCTTCCTTCTGTGGATTCAGGCTGATCTCCCCACTTCTGTGTTTGCCAGCACAACCTGGGAATCACAGAGGGGAAGCATGGGTACCAAGGGGTGAGCCCAGGAACAAAGCCGGGTTGGCTTTCTTGGGAAGAAGCCGTTGGCCCCCGCCCCCCGCCACCCCCGCCTCCCAGCTGCCATCCCTGATGTCTGGGGACTTTTGGTGACCTGAGGCTGGAGGTCCTGTGGGATGAGGTGGCAGGAGCTGTGGTTTCAGGCCTTCATCAGGGGTCTCTGCTGTGCTGGGGTGTCAGGTGTCCATAGGAGGGGTTCCCCTCTGTTCTGCCCACTTCCCCCGGGGCTCAAGCCCAGCCCGGCCTTCCAGGAGGTGGTTGGGGATCTTTCAGCCCTTCGGCCCGAGTGGCCTCTTCTGAGTGTGGACCCCACTGCCCCAGGGCCGCACCTGTTCCTAAGACCCAGATGATTTGGCGAGACCATCAGTGAATAGGGCACTCTGCCGTGGCAGATGGCAGCCGGGGCGGCGGAGGATGTAAGTGGAGGCCTCGGAGGGGAGAATGGAGTGGGGGCGAAGGCTGAGACTCCGAGAGTGACTTGGTTGATGTGGCTGCCGTGTGAGGGGCAGGTCCAGGCAGGGCCCCGGGGCTCTTGCCCTGTGACTCCGGCATATCCCCTTGTCCCTCTTGGACACAGCCGCTGTGACTGACAGGCCAGAGTGTCCCCCGCCCCCGCCCCCGCCCCCACCCCCGCAGCTTTCTCAGGCGGGTGCGCTCCCAGAGCCCAGGAAGAGAAGTGTCCGTGCTCCCGAGCTGGATGAGGCAGGTGTGATCCCCTCAGGGAGGTGCAGGACTGGGTGGGATGCTTAGCTCTAGTCTCTGATGGAGCCAGTCCTGTGCTTTGCCAGGGAGCCCCGTTCCTGGGTCTCCCCTCTCTCCTTCCTCCGGGTCACAGAAGGTCACTGCTGCAAGGTCCTGTTCTGAGCTGGATTCCCCCTGGCTGTCTGACCTCCAAGAGACTCGTCAGGAATCACCTCTCTGGCCCTACCTACTCCCCATTGGCCATTTTCTCATGGAAGCCAGGCCTTCTCTCTCTCTCTCTCTCTCTCTCTCTCTCTCTCTCTCTCTCTCTCTCTCTGGTCAGTGGGGCATGGGAACGGAGGTCGGCAGGCATGAGTGAAACTGATGCCCTTGTGACAGTTGGAGCCCCGAGAGGAGAGGGGGTCCTGCCCAGGTCACCCGCAAATCCAGAATAAAGACCAGGACCCCTGTTTCCCCACACTCTGGGCCTTCACTGCCCCCCAGCTGTCATGTGAAAAGTCCTGGGGGGGCACCCCAGTGCTTCTCAGAGCATCGGGGAGGACGGAATGAAGCCAAAGTCACGCTCCCTTTCCTGGCTGTGCCTAACTTCCTGGGCGGTACCCAACTGGTCGTCTGTTTGGAAACAGGCGGCATGGTGCTGACCCCCCTGCAACGCTTCCCTTGGGATGCCACACGGTCACCAGGGAAACAGAACGACTTGGGAACAGATGGCTGGGAACTGGCCTCGGGTTCCATCCTGCCACTGCCCCAGTGCTGCTCCAGCAGGCTCAGGGCCACCATCCCTGGACCACCTCAATACTGAGCACCTTAGCTCTGTGCCAGCCTGTCTGGGGCCAGATGACCCTAAGGGACCCTCTGGCAGGTTGTTCCTCACCTGTGAGCCAAGCCAGGGACTAGAGGCCCTCCAGTGAGCTTGCCCACCCTCCTGCCGAGGCCCCGAACACACCTCGGCACAGGCCTTGCCCCCGGGACTCATATCAGGGCGCACCCAAGCCTACTGGACCAGAACTGGTTTTCTCCAATACCTGGGTGAATCTGGGTGTACTCAAGGCTGGAAAGAGCAGCCTCCAGCCAGCCAGGGCTGCCTTGGTGGGTCTTTCGTGACTCCAGTTCTTTATTCCCCCCCTCTTGAGGAGGGGGGAGTCCCCTCTCCTCGCAGTGTCCAGGGGACACTCCCAGAGCTCCTCAGCCAGCCAGCCAGTTCTGTACCAGGCTCAGGTTGTGGGACTGCTCAGGTCCTGGTGCTGGGTCCAGCAGCAAGGCCAGCCCAGCAGAGCTGGTGACCTTGAGGGTGACCTCCAAAGATGCTCCCAGTCAACATGGAGACCCACAAAACCTACATTTGCCCCACCCCTGCTTCACCTCCGCACACCCCAGCTGCCCTGTTTACAACTTGGGAGAGCGTGGATCGCCAAACTGGGGTGTCGTGGGTTCCCCAACGGACCCTTGCGGGGTGACACAAACCCCCAGACAAGGCTTCCGGGAGGTCTGGGGAAGGTTTGGAGGACCCCACCCGCCGACTCAAGGACCTTCTTTTCTTCCAGGGAGCGCTTGAAGCGCAGCCAGAAGAGCACCAAGGTGGAGGGCCCAGAGCCGGCCGCGGCCGAGGCCTCGCTGAGTGCCGAGCAGGGGACGATGACGGAGGTGAAGGTCAAGACGGAGCTGCCCGACGACTACATCCAGGAGGTGATCTGGCAGGGCGAGGCCAAGGAGGAGAAGAAGGCGGCAGGCAAGGACGGCCCCGGGGACGTGCCCGCCGAGATCTGTGTGGTCATCGGGGGCGTGCGCAACCAGCAGACCCTGGGTGAGTGGCCGCGGGGGCGGCGGGGGGTTGGAGGGGTGCTGGGCGCTCGGCCTGGCTCCAGCCTTGGGGGGGGGGGGGGGGCGCTTCTCTGCTCGTGGGGACAGACCAAGGCTCCTAAGTGAAATGTCAGATGAAATGTCCAGTTTGCTCGCCTGGTTCTAGTACGGAGTGTCTCCATCCCTTGTGACAAAACCCTGCCCAGCCCATCAGACTCAGTTTACCTAAGTACCAGGAACTTTCTGCAGGCCGAGGGGACGCTCTCACACCCTGGGGCTCCCAGAGCATCAAGCCGGCTATATCACAGGTTCCCTCCCTGCTACACAGGGTGGATGCCAGGGGCCAGCCTCCAGGGCAGGTGCCCAGGGAGGATGGGATCAGGGACTGATTGGCACCGTCCATGGCCTCTTCTGCTCCAGCTCTGAGAAATCCTCTCTCCCTCGATTTCCTTACATGAACCAGAGGCAGAGGCATCCGGGAGCTCCCGGGGAGGTTTCAGGACTGAGCCCTAAAGGTAGATGCCAGGGGTCCTGCCTAGCAGCTGATCCCCTTCTTCCGAAAGTGAGTAACTTGTGGGCTCATGTGGGCCAGAGCGCAATGCCAGCCGTGAGCCAGGAGCGAGCATTGTGAAGCGAGCTCCTTTGGCATGCAGTGTTGGCCATGGAGCCGACTTTTGGGATCTGCCGAGCAAAACAGTGCTGGGTGGTAGAGTTCTGCCACATGGACCCCAGTTGGCCAGCCTGGAGCTGGGACCCGGTGTGGCCTGGCCCTGTCTGGTCCCAGACCTGCCTCCTCATCCCGGCCACCCCCCGCACTTGCTGTGCCCGGGGTATTCTGAGAAGCACAGCTGCCTCTTCCCAGCTTTGCCTGTGCTCCTGGCCCAGCTGGGGCCCTGCTCTGCTGTTGAGCTGTGTCCCATATCAGTTCCCTCTCCCTGTTGTTGAAACTCGGGACCTGCCACCGTCCCCCCACCCCCACACCCCTTCTGCTCCCTTCTCTGCTGGAGCCTTGCTGGGTGTGGACCTCTCAGTCCACCTGGGCCTCTGCAATCTTAGCTTCTCCTTGCTCTCTGCGGCCTCTCACACTGGCCACCAGAGGCCATGGAAATCCGTGAGCATGCTGCCCCCTAATACTTTTAAACGTGGGGCTCCCCCAGGGTCTCGGGGGCAGCCGCGGCATCGTCCATCCCTGTCACAGCCTGAGCCTCCCTGCCTCCTTTTCTGCTTCGGTCACTCCCTTTGTTCCCTTTATTCTGGCTGCTCTCCCACCCCATTCCCCACACGTACAGGTCCCTCTCTCTGGAAGGCCTCTGCCCGTTTCCTCACACTCAAGACCCATCCAGTCTGAAGGTCAATTCCAGTGTCTCCGCCTCCCAGAAACCTCCCTGGATCTCCTGTGGTCAGCAGTGACCTCATATCTCCTATACCATTCACCACCCCCCAATCCAGTGTATAAAAGAGAGGGGCCCTGTCCACGCCCATCTCTGCCACCAGGACCGTGAGCTCCCCACTCCCACCCCACCAGACCTCTTGTCCAGACGCTGTCCTGAGGGGGCTAGGTCATGCCACTGTGACTCTGAAGTGTTGCTCTTGGAAGCTCAAAGTTGTTACTGGTTGCTGAATCACCCCCACATACCCATAAGATGGCTCTTGTGGGTCTGTGGGGGCTCTGTGCTGCTCCAGAGCCGTGATTTAGAGGGAAAGCAAGGTTTAGAGAGGCCCCTGCCATGGCCAGAAGTGAGAAGTGCTAGTCTGTGTGCAGCCATTGATTGGAACAAGTCACAGGGCCCCTTCCAGCCTCTCATGTGACTCAAGGGGACAACCCATATTTGATAAAGAGCCAGGATGGTGTGGCACAGTGCTCAATCTAAGAATAATTTGGGGGGTTGGGGGGGCTGTAGGCGTTCTCCTTCTGTCTCAGTTCATCCCCTGAAGCCCCTCATGCGTTTCGGACTTCACTCTTAGGATGTGCCCTTGCTCCCTTATGTGGTTGTTGTAAGATTCAATGACCACCCCCCCCCCCCAGTGTCTGTTTGGGCCCTTCCCCAGGAAGGGCCCCATGAAGGCGGGGGTGCAGGGAATATGAGTCTTGCGATAGAGCCAGTGGCCAGGCAGACCCTGAGCAGCCACGCTGGGGGACTTGGAGGGCATCTCTTCCCCACCCCAGTGCCTGTGCTGTGAGGGTCTCCAGGCCCCCGGGCTGCTTTTCAGACATTTTTGCAGGTTTCTAGCTCAGCTGCTATACCCTGGGCAAAGGTCAGGGTCATTCAAGGTCCTGCTGGTAATTGAGTCTTGGCCCCCTCATGGGGCTGGCCATTGAGCGTGTCCGTGGAAAGGGGACGGTGTTGTGTGGGGAGAACCAGCTCGTCTACTCGGACGGGGAGGGAGCCCAGGTTCCAGGACTGAGCTGCTGTGTACCCTGGGCAGGCTGCCGGTCTCTGTCTGCGCCTCCATGCTCAGCGTTGCAAATCTGCAGGGTTATGCGAGGATTCAGTAGGGTGATGTAGGTGCAGCGCGCGGCACTCCGCATGGTAGAGGAGGGGCTATTATTAGCATCAGTACTTGTATTAATAGTATAAAGTACCTCTTCAAGGGGAAGAGGAGGGACGGCTTCTTCTCTCTACCCATGTCTAAGAAATAAGCCAGGGTGATGCAGAGTGGGGGAGGAATAGGAAGGGAATGGTGGAAAGTCCGCGTCTGAGGAGGAGTCAGAGACCTGAGTTTGGGACTGGAGAGGTGGCACAGAGGTGAAGACCCTTGCCTCACGAACATCGACACCCTGGTTTCATCCCCAGCAACCACTTAGGGTTCCCTAAGCACTCCCAGGAGCGATTCCTGAGTACTGAGCCAAGAGTGAGCCCTGAGAAACCCCAGCCATGACCCAAAAACCAATAGCAAAAAAAGACTAGGGCTCCTTCTTACCTGAACACCAGGTAGGGTCACCTCCAGTGGCTGGTGCCCCTTTGAAGACTTCCTGGAATTCAGAAATTATCTCATTGACCTTTCTGAAGTGATAGCACAGCGGGTAGGGCGTTTGCCTTGCAAGCTACCAACAGGGCCGACCCGAGTTCGATTCCTCTGCCCCTCTCGGAGAGCCCGGCAAGCTACCGAGAATATCTCGTCCACACAGCAAAGCCTGGCAAGCTCCCTGTGACGTATTCGATATGCCAAACACAGTAACAATTGTCACAATGGAGACGTTACTGGGCCTGCTCGAGCAAATCGATGAACAACGGGAGAACAGTGACAGTGACCTTTCTGAAAAAGTGGCTTTATATGTTCTGGTGAAATACACCACAGTGTGACGGGGTCACAGTGCTCCGAGGGGCTTTACTGTTTCAAACCTTGCACTCCACCCCCACCCCAAATTGGCCTTGATGACTCTTCCTGCGACTTCCCTGAGCCGCCTTTCTTCTTCAGAGTCATTGCTGCCAAGCATTGGGCTCCAAAATCTGGAATGGAGGGAAGAGCCATGAAAAATAAAATTGTGGTTAGAACGGAACCTTTGTTTTTCTTTTTGATTTTTTTTGGGTCACACCTGGCAATGCACAGGGGTTACTCCGGGCTCATGCACTCAGGAATTGCTCCTGGTGGTGCTGTGGGGACCATATGGGATGCTGGGAATTAAGCCTGGGTCGGCCGCATGCAAGGCAAACGCCCTACCCGCTGTGCTATCACTCCAACCCCAAGAGTGAAACCTTTGAACTCAACTAATCTAAGATGGCAGAAGATCTGATGAAGTGGGGCCAGTCCAAGTTGTGGGTGCTGACCATGGCGCTTGGCCGTGTTGTAGGTTCCACAGGGCAGTGTGATTAATTATGGATGTCTGCCCTGGATGTGGCATGGGGCTGTAAACCCAGCACCCTTCATTTCTTCTTTTTCACTTTTGGGCTGGAGTGATAGCACAGCGGGTAGGGTGTTTGCCTTGCACACGGATGAACAGGCCGACCCATGTACGACTCCTCCGCCCCTTTCGGAGAGCCTGGCAAGCTACTGAGAGTAAGTGGTTTCTCCTGCCACCCTCCTGTCCAGGGGTCCACCAGGGGCCCACCAAGCTTCACCTTCTGGTACTGACTAGGGCGGCAGGTGGTGTCGGGCATCCAGCCAGGGTTGGCCCCATGCAGGGCCTGTGCCCTACCCCCTACACTACCTCCCTGCCCCTGATACCCATCGTTTCCTGGAGATGCCAACTATGGCGTGTGGAGAGGAAGGAGCTTCCCTGAATCACATGGTGGTGACCCTTGGCTTCTGTTTCTTGAATTTTGGGGGAGGCTGTGTCACCTCTCTGGACTTCTCTGTAGGGCAGTAGCAGGGAAGCCATCCAGGGATCTTCTAGTTGGTAACACAGTGTGCCTCTGGGCCCTGGTGAGCCAGCACAAGAAGGTCCCACAATCCGGGGCACTTGGCAGGAGGCATGGAACAGCCCGGGGCTCCCACCCCCAGCACCTCAGGGCTCCAAGCAGAGGAGAAGCGCCTTCCTGCCCCAGGCTGCGCCACTGAGAGACACTCCTGCTCGCCCATTCCTCAAGCGCCAGCCTGCCTCGGCCTCCCACCCTGCCCTTCAGTCCCCTCCTGGCCCTTGACCAGTCTTCAGTGTTCCCAGGGATGCAGACATTAGCCGGGGCACTTCCTGCGAACACGTGTGTGGCTCTGGCAGCTCCTGGGGTTAGGACGGTGGGAAGGGGCACCAGGATTATTGGAGAACCAGTTACAGGGCGCGCACACACGCATGTGTGTGTGTGTGTGTGTGTTGGAGTGTGTGTGTGTGGGGGGGGTGCCTGCCCCAGGGATGGGCGAGTAGAGGGGATCCGGCTGGGCAGCAGGAGAGGAGCCCCAATTAACAGGGAGCACCCAGAACTGCCGGGGGGTGGGCAGTGCTGCTGATGGCTAACCTGCTGGGGCAGGGGGCGTCTCCACGCAGCCACCACAGCTGGGACAAGAGCCATTCCGACACAGCCACGTGGGCTTGGGCCTGTGACAAAGCCGGGGGGGGGCGGGGGGCGT